AGATATTTTTATGAACAAAATTGAGCACTGTTTCTATTTATATGTTTAGTTCTACGAAGCACTATGATTTAAATACTGCATAGTTTGGGCGAACTATGTAAAATGTGGTACTACTTTATTTTTATATTTACAAAAACTGTGTGTATTTAGGCCTATTTTTTGTTTTTGTAAATATAAACAAAGATAATTTTTCAATAATGTCATACTCATACTTGGATTGGCGTGCTAGCAGCAGACAGTGCAGTGAACCCGACAATGTCGGAGAAAAAGATGGAAACCATTTCGAAGGACTCTGGCAACACAGATATGCCTTTGATCAGTTGCGAAGCAATGGACCTAAGAAAAAATACATGTTCGTCATTGTAATAAACATAGAGGATTGTTTGCGTCTTCGCTATTGTATACAACAACAATGTGTGTCTATTCTATACGATTTTCAATCAATTTTGTATGCTATCCGACAGTTATTTGTAAACATCGACAGATGAATGTCCTACTCATGTTTAATAATATTAATGTTTGCTTTGGATATGAGCATCCAAGTAAGTGCGTCTTTACATCGTGTAGCAACCTGAATGATATTATATAAGATATGTTAATGTGCACTGGTTTATTACTCAGAGGCTTTTGAACATGTTATAAAGTACACAAATCGTTTGTTATATTTTTCTTTAAAATTTTTTAAACAAATTCCTAAAAACCAAGTAAAGCGAATATTGAATCTTAATTATTATTAGTATTAAGCATACCCAGCAGGAAATACCGTACTGCCTTCACGCCCCTCCAACAATTACTGGCGAACCCCTAAAAAAAACACGGTCAAGTAGTTAAAAACACCTAAAATCACCGTATTTTGCAAGTTAGCTCCCCTCAACTAATCATCGGGCTCCCCCACCCACTTCACCTTCGCGCCCCTATCAGCAACCCACTTCAAGACTTCTAGATGCGCCACTACTTATTAGTTAGTAGTGAAGTTCTCAAACAACTGATGTGACTAGACTAGTGGAGGAAGGTAGTGTTTGATTATGGTCAAATCTTAATAATAATAATAATGTTAGACTTATATAGCCCAAAATGCCGGTGCTTCGATGCACTTAACATAAAATATTAATATAAAAAAAAACTTAGGCCCTACTGTATATCATAACCCAAATAAACATGCACGCAAACACATAACATATTTTTTGTTGTTGTTGTATTGAATATAAGCAATAAAAATAGGAAGAGGCAAAATTGTACAAAAACTCTGGAGGGTCCCTATCCACCACCATTCTGGGGCAATCCTGGACCTCTGCCAAGATGGCTCGAACAAAGGAACCGCATGCATGTTTAAGGAATGTTAACCAGAATATTCTGTCAATTTCATTATAGGCCTACAAGTTTGCTTAGCATTTTCAACATAGGCCTACATGTTTGCTTTGGATATGAGCATCCAAGTAGATGCGTCTTTACATCGTGTAGCAAACTGAATAATGTTATATAAGATATGTTAATGTGCAATGGCACCCCCACCCACTTCACCTTCGCGTCCCTATCAGCACCCCCCACTTCCAGACTTCTAGATGCGCCACTGATCATTAGTTAGTAGTGAAGTTCTCAAACAACTGATGTGACTAGATTAGTGCAGGAAAGTAGTGTTTGATTATGGTCAAATCTAAATCAAATTTAATCGTGACTTATAGATTATTATTTTTTTTTTTTTTGTTATTTTTTCATTATTATTTGTTTTAATTTTGTTTGACAAAAACAGAAGACACGTGTCTATATATGGTCGTGATTACATCACATAATGACCATATATTATTATATAAGCACATCTTGACGATATATGGGCATCCAACAGTTTTTTTTTGTTTTTGTTTTTGTTTTTTTTTTTTTTGGTCAAGGAAAATGTTATAGTCTTGAGAGGGCTTTTACAGGCCTAGTTTTTAGAGAAAAAAACAACAACAAATCTAGTCAGGTTTTCGAACCAAAATGATTAAATGGAGTTTTTTAGTCAACTGAGTTGAAAAGTAGAAGGGCTACGTGTAGAGTACCATCCGTTCTAACGATTAACGCGTTCGAAAATTATATCTGTTACCGATATTTATTGCATCATGTACCGGTAATGTATAATTGAATAGCATGTGTTTTTTAATTACTTGGTAACACTGGTGTCCATTAAAAGGGCATGCACTCAGACGTCCAACACTAATGGCACTTAATAAGAAATGATTTAATTTCAAACAGTGCACCATATTTCAGAGTGCACTTAAAGATTGTTAATTTGTATTCAAATTCGAATTAAAATTGTATCAATTAGAAAACATATGCTATTTTTTTAAATAGTAATAACTTCTTTCTATATAACGCCATGCAAACCTTCAAACAATAGGCCTATTCAATAACGTTCCTTAAAAAGAAAGATAACGTAGAAAAAAACTAATTAAAGCAATGTATGCATTTTTCGACAAAATATGCTTATTCTTGCTCGTTTCAAAATAGGTCTTGTATTGATACTTAACCAACTCAAGAATTACGGAACGTGTATGATGCGGCCGTTTATTGATAATTAAACATCTAGTTTTGTGCATCAATAAGTTACTGTAGTGATAGAAAGTCAGAAAACAATTCTTCTATACCAGAGTGTACATCATAATTTGTTTTTCCTTTGTAGACGCAAAGATCATAGAAATTCTATAGTAAAGTAATCTGGAAAGAAAAATAGCGCGGAAATTGATCCCCATGGCTTATTAAAATTATGAAGTTACAGAAAGTATCTTCCCAGTGGGTTAATCAAACTGAACAACTGACGAATCAGCACAGCAGCAACAGGAATACGAGCTTGCTCCAAAAACGCACGCGTTGTCTCAATATACAGGTGTTGTCCTATAAACGCACGTGTTCAGTTTACGCTGTCGTTTTGCGGGACCTTAGCAACAATATCCAAGGGGCGGGGCTTATGAAAATATCCATTAATGTTAATCATGTGCATTGGTTTATTACTCAGAGGCTTTTAGACATGTTTTATGTAAAGTATACAGGTCGTTTTATTATATTTTTCTTTTAAAATTTTTTAACAAATTCCTAAAAAAAGCAAATATTGAATCTTAATTATTATTAGTATTAACCATACCCAGGAGGGAATATTCAGCCTTCTCATTAGCCTTGGTGTATCTAGGGCCTTGGCCCCTCTGAAAACGTACTCGCGCTCCACCCCTGTCGCCCTAAAAAAATCACGGTCAAGTAGTTAAAAATCACCTAAAATCACCTTATTTTGCGAGTTAGCGCCCCTCAACTGATCATCGATCCCCCTCCTCATTCACCTTCGCACTACCCATCAGCACTCCCACTTCAAGGCCTTTAGATACGCCACTGCGTATTACTAAAGTTAGTAGTGAAGTTCTCAAACAACAGAGGAGGAAAGTAGTGTTTGATTTGATTATGATCAAATCTAGATCATTACATTGTATATATCCTGTCTCTTATACACATCTAGATGTGTATAAGAGACAGGTATTACACTAAATTTAAGCCCTTTCCAGGCTTATGAAAAGATTCATTAATGCTAATGTACCACATTAGTAAATAAGCTTCAATTTAAGACTTACGGTGGCAGCATTCGATGAAGCAGCTGCTCTGTCTTTGCTTTCTCTTTGCGCAGTTCCTGTGTGCGCTCATCTACCAACTCTTCTAAGTTGTTAGTATATCTCTCCATGATGGCTATCATGTTGTCCAAAATGTTTGGTTTCCTGTCACCAAAAGAAAGAAGAAAAATAGTGTTCTTTTGTTTTGTTTTGTTTTGTTTTGTTTAGTTTTTTTTATCATTTGTTTTCTTTATTCAATAAATGCTCGAATGTCTCAGTAGATTTTTAAAAAAAAATAAAATAAAAACCAAGTCATATGATCCAAAAATTCCGTCATTATAAGTTATTTGCAAGAAATATAATTTAAGCTAAGTTGGGCCTAAATATTTTATTTTCAAAATGTATATTTTGAATACTTTACTTAATGAGGTTTCTTGAATGAGTTAAAAATGTATTCACCTAATAATCATTATATCAACTAGCCTATGTTAATTTTATATGTGATAGATTAGAATTTTCTCAGTTCTTGGTTAACAAAAATCCAATTGTTTTTTTCTTTCGGCCCAGTGTTACACAGATTATACAATAGATTAGTATTCAACGAATAATAGTCGTGCAACTGACTTATGTTTAAATAAATTATGTTAATACCACTGATAAATCAAATTTTTAAGCACTTAAATACTGTATTCAAAAACCTGTATCTCATTAACCGTTCCTGAGCTTTCTATCAAATATGCTTTTTGTGTCTTAGAAAACTTGTACAACATATTAATTTTTTCCTCCGGTGCCTGGCTATAAGAGAGATAGTCGGGTGGTGTAGGTGGTGGTTGCATTCGCACAGGAAGGTTGAAATGTAAGATAAATGATCGATCTTGCAGTAACATAGAAACACTTACAGCCCTTTCTGTAGTGGTTTCAGAAGCTCTCTGATTTCAAGGAAGTTAGGCCTGTCTTCTGGGACTTCCTGCCAGGCACTGCGAATCACCGTCAGAATGCACTCGGGTGCCGTTTCATTACAATCACTGATATCGGGTCGGTAGGGAGGGTCAAGCGATGCCGTAACTTTCTGTATTATGTCTAAAAGTCAGAATATAAATCTGTAAATACTAGCACCAATTTTTAATGTTTTACGGTTATATTATCTAGATTGAATTACATTGTCATAAATATATTTTCAAAGTTATTATTATTATTATTCATTTTAAAAGTTTAAAAAGGTAACAACCCAATTAAATTAAAGCCATTATATAGAAAATACGCTTTATCAATACTTTTTTAACATACCATCTAAGCTGTCTTCATTTAGATGGTATGGTTCGGCTCTTGCATAAATCTCCTGTAAAAGAATCGAAAATGAGTATACGTCGCCTTTCGGTGTTCCTTGGGGCGGCATATCTTTTCCTTGCCTCAGATGTTCAGGTGCTCGCCATAAAAGATCTAAAATGAATAAAAAGTAATTTGGTTTTTAAAGAAGAAGGATTAGTATTATTATATACACCTACTATGCTTGTGTATTATACACAGAGATGGTTACAAGTATTGTATGCATTGTCATTTAAGAAGTTCATCAGGGATTCATTTTTGTAAGTACAGTACTATAATACTGTGCAATGAATCAATTTATATTATTGCATTGTAGGTATATATCCAGTTAATGATTATTTCATAGCAAAGGGCGGATGAACTCCTCGGAGCCAACAGCCAAACCATGCTTAGTTTAAGGAGTAGGATGAGTTAAGTATCATTCTATTCATATTCTTATTTATGTTAAGCGCATAGAGGTCTATGATATGCGCTCTATAAGTCGACCATTATTATTATTATTATTATTATTATTATTATTATTATTATTATTATTATTATTATTATTATTATTATTATTAGGCTTATTATTTGCAGTATATTTCTCGGGTAGAAATTGTGTATGTGTTTGTTATTTGGTACGAGTAACATTGCTGTCAGGGGGTGAATAAGATGAATTAAAATTTAAGAAAATTATGTTTTTTCCCTAAATCATAATATTGCTATACAAAAACATATCCTTTCGCGAACGGAATAAATATTACATGAATTCATTCAATTATTATTTGTAATAAGCTATTGTTATTGCGTTATCATTGGCATTCTACATAATACATTTTTTTATATAGGATCTCTAAATTGTAACTGACTTCTATAAAAGCGTGATCAATTTTTTCTTTGCTGTCACGTGGTTGATGAATTAAATAAAACATGAGATAGCAGCCTTACTTCTTAGCCTGGCATGATCACTGAGATCAGGATCTTCCATGGCACCTCTCTTGAATGCATGCAGTCCGTAGTCCGTGATCTGGAGAACCCATCGATTGTCAACGACACAATTGGATGATTTCAGATGGCCATGAGATCTAATGGCACTGCTGTGTATGTATATAATTCCTTTCACCAGATCGGCAATCAGTGATGCAAGGAACATAGTGTCAAGTTTTATGTCATCGTTTTCAAGGATATCCTAAGATTCGGACAAGTAAAATTGATGTCAGATAATCGAACTGTCATAGTTTCAATCAAACCATCAATTAAACAATCTGAACAATTAAAACAAGGCCCTGTCTCTTATACACATCTAGATGTGTATAAGAGAAATAATAATTTGCTTAGCCAAATAACGCTATTTTAATTGCTAATCCCTAATATTGTGATCTAAAAGCACAATTTGACATACTAAGCCATAAAAGCTGTCCCCGTGGATTTTTTTTATTCTGAGGTTCAAGTCGGCCTCTTGGTTCGTACCTGTCCCCCGGACATGTTGGACCTCCAAACTTCTGGCGCCGCCGTTGCACAAACGCACGTGAAATATAGGTACGTTTACGCAATACTTTACTTTTTTTGTATGACTTATATCAGCAACAACAATATCGGAGGGGTGTGGGCTTAACGGAAATGTCCATATGCATCGATACGATATAAGCCTATTTCTGTCATTACATGTATTAGCACAAAATACGCATATATTTATATGAAAGTATTGATACGTTAACTATTGATTGTACTGTGTTAGGCCTACTATGAACAATGTCCAAAACCATTAACAATCGCATTATGGCACATTGTATAAACAATTCTTGTTCTACTTATGTTTCAGGACGATATGTTTAGTTTCACACTGAAATACATCCTGGATAGCGTAAATTGTTGTTTATTGTTTATGTTAATTACCGAATATATTCTAATGCGATTCTCTGAGCATTGAGTAATCTGCAATAGGTGTATACGTTTTGAAATACTTAATTGTAATAATATATAAACTGGTTACGGATAGGCCTAAATGAGGCCTGTTGAAAGTTAGATATGCTACACTGTACTATGATCCTGAAAAAGGTGTTGTAATTTAATTTCTGTTATGTTTACCTGTAGACTGCCTTTTGGAGCGTATTGCATCAGGATGCAAATATGAGGGCTATCGACGCATGCTCCGATGAAGGGACACACGTTGTCATGGCGCACATCTCTCATCTGTAATATAATAGTTAATTCAATGAAAGAATCAACGTTTTCTTCAGAAAAACTCTACTGTATTGGTCTTCTCATTATGTATGTATTGGAGAGCACAAACAGAATCACAAAACCAAACTCTAACAGGTGCCTGTTTAGACTTGCAACGATAACAATAAAAAGCTAAATAGCAAATGTTCATGTAGAAAACAAAATAAATTGGAGTTTTCACACTAGCACGATTCGATAACGATTCATCGTGTATACGATATAAAAAATAATTACACAAATCAAATCAGATAACGTGATAATCATTGGAAAACGATAAAATCGTAGTATTAAGAACGATTTTATCGTTTTCCTATAATTATGATGTCTTTGATTTGATTTGTGAAAATATTTTTTATCGTATACGCGATAAATCGTTATCGAATAATGCTTGTGTGAAAACCTCTCTTACTACTTTTTATTTTCTATTATATGAACAATTGTTTTTTTTTTTTATACTTTTTATCGTTGATCGTTATCTTCATAGTGTAAACATGCCTTTAATTTGTACTCTTTAGCAGAGAGTGACATGGACAAAGTACGTTGCGCAATGACACACGCATACGGACCAACGTTCGATTCGAACCACGACGTGAAATGTGAGAGCTTGAAACTGTAACTCTATCCCATTCTATTAATTAGGTTTATTAAACACTTATAATCCTAAATATATACGGTATTTTTTTATAATGTTTATTCAGTTGAAATCAGCATTGGAATATTGATAAAATTCAACTTACATTTTTAAGTTCTTTCCTGACTTCCCTTGTCAACTCAACGGTATGCTTATTTACAGCTTTTATTGCGCAAATATTTCCCTATAATTTAGACAATGCAAACAAACTAATTATTGGTTCATCATAACATTTAGGGGAGCGGTATAGATACTGCTAAATTCGGGTGTTCAAATGTCAAGCTCTAGGCTCACGGAAATTGAATTATTTTTCTTAATTATTCAGTATATAGAGCTAGCATTGAATGCACTCAATCAATCGATTGCCAGATCTGTTTTTTTTTCTTCTTCTGTGTTTTTTCTTTACTTTATCTTCATACCTTGTAAGTTCCAATCTTCGTAAATATCTGCTGCTGTTCCTGATTGGTTATTACTGAAATGGTGCTCATTACCATACTCTTCATTGAAAATCCTTGCTTGTTTACTTCGTCTCCCTTAGTCTGCAAGTCGTCCCAGTTTACCTTCCAAACTAAACTATCTAATTCGGTCTCATACTTCTTCTTCCTAATATGGTAAACACATAGGTGTACTTTCAAGTCTCTGTGTGCTAAATTATTTATCTTTCAAGTCTCTGTGTGCTAAATTATTTATGGAATTGTAATTGGATTTTTGATATATTCTATACACAGATAAATAAATGCACTTGCACAATGTTTTTTACATAACTCTCTTTCAAAACTCAACATTTGTTTATGCTAAGATGACGCATATGACGACGATCAAAAGAAAAGGAGGATGTTGATGAGATATTATTCAGAGAATGTGGAAAGCAAATAAAACGATGCATTTTATGCTTAATTTTTCTCCCCTCATTTTAAATAATAGTTGTAATAAAGAAAATAAGACATGGACATAGTACTGTAATGTTTAGAATACCTGTAGTAGTAGTACGCCAAAACCAATGCAATAAACACGAATGCTGCAGGAATACAGGTTCCCAGATACAGCTTTACCTCTGATATAAAAAAAAATGTATATGTATTGACAAACTATTGAAATAATAATAATATAATATAAACAATATAATTAATATTAATATAACAATGATAATATATATAGGTGTAATTTTGCCCTACCTGACGTGGAAATGTACCGAATACTCAGTAGGCCTACATTTGAAAACAACTGCGAAAAAAAATCGCAAGTTGTTCTCGGGTGGGACTCGAACCCACGATCTCCAGATCACTAGCCTGGAATCATACCTCTACAACACCGAGCTTGTGCCTGATGACCAGGGTTGAATTCGAGTCCAAGTAAGCAGCGGGTACTGCAGTGTTGATAGTAATTGTTATTGTCGTTACAATATTGTTATTGTTATTACTATCAACACTGCAGTACCCGCTGCTTACTTGGACTCGAATTCAACCCTGGCCACCAGGCGCAAGTTCGGTGGTCTAGAGGTATGATGCCAGGCTAATGATCTGGAGATCGTGGGTTCGAATCCCACCCAAGAACAACTTGTGATTTTTTTCGCAGTTGTTTTCAAATGTACTGAGTATTCGGTACATTTCCACGTCAGGTAGGGCAAAAATTACACCTATACATGTTTCTCCTGACGCAAATCCAGTTATTGTTTATTATTCCATTATAACAATTACTATCAACAATGATAATACTCATTACAATAATGATTGTATTAACAATATTTTTTTTTTCCTTTCGTGGGGAAGTTACCACCTTTATTCATCAATATACAAACAAAACATAATAAATACAGCATTAAATTATAAATGTTTATCATATATTATATTTTTCTTTGTCAGAATTGACTTGATTCGAATGTATTATTATTATTATTATTATTATTATTACTATATTTTATTGTTCTTACTGTTGTTATTAATGATATTATTCTTATTGATATTATCATCATGTTGAGAATCTAACTCTAGAGGGACACTAAAAAGTATGTGCATATTAATTAAGTACATGCATATTTAAAAGGGAAACACGTCATAATGTTGGACCCTGGGAGATAAGGGCGTAAATTTTTGTCTAGGTCTCGATTGAGAGCAGACGTCTATAGGGAGGCCTAAGTAAAGGGCTTTAGATGAGAAAAGCCGAGTTGGACAAGGTCCATGAAGACTGGCTAATGTTGAATGCAGGCAGATATGTGCTATATAAGTTGACAAACCAAGGTTTCGGTCATAATTAGCAGCAGTAGCCTCTATATTATGCTGACTCATGAATACATTTTACGAAACAATGGGTTGCAGTAAGTCAAATGAATGACGAAAGAAAAGAAGAAGGAAAGAAATAAACAGATTGTTGTAACTTATCTGATGATGGGTGTCGTTTTGTTCGTGTCAAATTGATATCATTGAAGTACCACGTGACATTCTTTATTATACAGTATTTTGGGGTTTTTTTAAGCAATTCAATATTCAGTCCTATATAATAATTAATATCACATCATATCTTATTTCATATTACTATAATGTAGTAAATTTTAGCATAGGCCCCTATATCATATATCTTACCATATAATTTATTTATGTCACATATTTATCATATTATACAATATTAGTGTATCGTACTATTTCTTTATTTTCTTTCTCTCTCTCTCTCTCTCTCTCTCTCTCTCTTGTGGAAATTTCATTCACATTAATTACTTTTCTAATTTTTATCGTTTTTTTTTTATAAATCTGTTTTCGAAATACGATATTAAATCAACCAACATCAATGATAACATACATTTATATTTTTAAAGACAGTTACAATCAAAGTGGTCAGTGGTCCTTCAATGTTTTTTTAACATAATACTTAATTGTGATAAGTTCAATATACATTTTCATCTTTGTCAACATTGTTTATTTTTGTATACATACATTAATAGAACAACAAACAAGCCAGCAAAAATAAAGTTTTCTTTTAAATAAATGCAATTCATTTCTAGCATAATATAAACGACCCATTGTAAAATACAAATTTGAAAATTCTAATATTTTCTCAAAAAGTTTTTTTTTTTGTAGTAGTTCTCTTATTTTTCAAAATTCTTTTTTATTCATTTGTCATCCAGTATAATATTTGTCTTTATAAAAAGGAGATACTATAATTTCACAACTCCAACAATGTTAACAATAATAATAGTAGTAGGCCTAATAACAACGACAACAAAACTATCATCACCAACGTCATTAACAACAAAACATATTGACTATTATCACTGGTCTATTTCACTAAATGGATAGTTTCATAATTATAGAATTAACCTACTTGTAGTCAAACACAATTCGCCATGGTAGCCACAGGGAGGCCTATCCAGCGGAGGTTCACCTCGAACCGGCCATCTGAAGGATAAGGAATCGTTGAAAGACTGGTACTCCTATTACAATAATAAAGTAATACAACACAATTTGTTAATGAAATTTTACAACATTAGTAATCAAAAACTGTATAATTTTGTTTTAAATGTCTCCTTACAATAATATATGCCAGAGATGGGCAAAGCTCGGCCCGCATGCAGCATGCGGCTCTACGGTGAGTTTTGCGGCCCGCCACAATCAATTAAAAACCCCATGAGTGTGCGGCCCGCTAGCCATTTTTGGCTGAAAAGACCTTGTATTGTGCATATATCCCTGCTATATGCACTGTCGCTGCCTATTGCAATATTACATTAAAGTAAATAACAAAAGATGGAATTTGTTTTGACAAAATCCTTGGTTTTGATGTAAATAAAAATTGAATTCAATGACGATGGTGGTGATAATGATAATGAAGAAGATAATGATTCTATAATCCTCATCATCACAAGGAAGAATGGACCTTACCGGAGTGTCAATCAAATTTAACAACTGGCCAATCAAAACAGCGCCAGGAATATTCGTGCGTATCGCGAATACACGTGTTGTCCCACAAACACACGTGTTTGCGTATGTTTTAACATTGGCCGTATTCGACTGTTCGTTCTTCGTTAAACCACGCCCGCCTGTGGTAAAATCCTACTTAACGAAGACGAACAGTCGAATAGAAAAATGGTAAATACTCGACAAAACAAAATGGCTGCATAGTTACCGCAATACACGCTGCGTAATCAAGGCTGCTTCGGATTGTGGCAGTACCGGTATGGGTTTTTCGTAAAAAAATATTTTCCTCCAGTTTTTGAACTCTGTTAACCTACAATTATTTTTTGACTTCAATGTGGGTAAATATTGTAATTTTTATTTTCTGAAATTTAATCTAAATTATATTATCGCTATGGTTATGGTTACGTTAATTTTCGTTGTCAACGAAGTCTATTTTACGAACCAGTCGAATGAAAATAGTACGGTACGGTACTCAACAATAATTCGTACTCAACGAAATGAACCAGTCAAATAAGCCCATTGTCGCTTTGTAGGACAACATCCAAGGGGTGGGGTTTAGCGAAAGGTATTAATAACGACAATGATGCTACTGAGTAAAACAAAAATGTTAAATACTTACCCATACACCATCAACAACTTCTTTAAAAATGCCCATTGAAACATATCCAAAATCCCCAACCACAGCCATGCCGTCGTCGTAGCTGATAATATTCCAATCTCTAAGTTCAAAGTCACACTCTCCGTTTCCGTTGACATCAATTTTTGCCTCAAAATTCATTATACCTTAAAATAGACAGATTTTATTTTAGCAACGAAACATAAATACACGTGATACATAAACGCATAAAAATGTAAAAAAAACTATGATAGCTATGATAAAAATGTCAAAATCTTATTTTTGATTTAAAAATTCCATTGACAAATGACAATGAAATGTTGTTGTAAATTTGTACATACTTTGGTAAGTCCTGTCAAAAAGTTTGGTCATGAAATTTGATCCAACGTGAGGATCCTCTCCAGCGGCTAGAATCTCACCAAGAACATTACCCATGATAATTCCTGCATCGTACAAATAGGATCCGATGGTAGTCCAGTGGTTCTGATAATCAGGAGAGATAACTTAATAGTAATACATTTATTTATATCCTAAACAAATTCGTTACCTCAGGATAATTTAAAAAATGCTATACCATGCCACTCGTTAATTAAAGCCCGGTTCCTGGGAAAAAAGTGTTTGAATTGTTGTACAACTGATTTTTGACAAGTAACTCTGGAGCGGTTAACGATAGCCTATACAGATTTCTGAGTATTTAACAACTGGTGGAAAGGGTGGTTACCCATTTTCACGTTATAGTTTAGTTCGTATTCTTATATAACGCCTATTCCTTTAGGTTACAAAGCACTTTGTTTTTCCCTGGTCATTGAGTCCACATGCTTAAGTGTACTCATTTATGGATTCAAATTCAAATATTAAAGATACACACATCATTTAAAGGTGAAATTAGAATCTATCTTATTTAGAATTATGGATGCTTAATCAATTAAGTTTTTTAGGCCTATTTAAGAACTAGGCTTATAATGTTATACAATTTTGTGGTTTAATTCGATGTAATTTGAATGTTTAAATTGTAATTTCTCTTGGGTGTTTTATTTTATTTTTTTTTTTATTTCATACTTGTTTTTTTGTTTTTATTCCTTCTTGATGTTTTTTTTAATGTCTTTTGTGATTTAAATTGTTATCTGTATCATATTGTACATTTTATTAGGGAGGGGCAGCTGGATTGAAAAAGTTATAGCTTAAGCTGCCCCCGACCATCCTTTGGTCAAATAAATAAACTGAAACTGAAACTGAAACTGATTGTGATATAAATAAATCTGACTTTGCACAGCGTTTGAATATATACAATTTCAATCTTCTGAAGAAAGTAGTCAATTGTGGTGATAAAAGTTTCTGATCGTTTGGTTCTCCATCGATCTTATTCTTTCCAGAAATTTTAGGGCAGGATGGTTTGCTAGATTTAAGTGATTTGATAGGCCTAAAGTTTGGTGTTTATTTTTGTGTGATTTGATGTTTCTTTTTGTATTTATATTTTTTTTCCTATTGTAAACTCAAAAGTATTTCAACCTTTGCTGCATTTTGAGTATTTTATACCAAATAAATAAATAAAATAAAATAAATAAATAAAATATAGAAACCCGGAGCATAATTAATTTTCTGTTAGCTTGTGATCTTCAGCTTACTTTTTATTTTATAAATTGCTTGAATTGAATACCATTGCCGTGGCTTGTCTTCATAGGACTAGTAGACATAAACTTGTTTTATTTTGTAGAATTTCTGATTTTTATCTTTTCCTTTATTGCATTGTATTGCTAAAATTTGTGACACCGACACATCGTTGATTACAGTATTTGTTTCATTTGGTTTGTATTTTGAAGCAAGCGAAAGATGATAACAATAATTTATTTTAAAGCGACATAAGACAACATTAATTATGATTACAGTGATAAGAATCGCCATCGAGGTATTGTTATACAATATACGCCTACAAGAATATTAATTTATAATCTCCGGAAGCCTTTATAAATAGGTTAATGCCATGCCGGCACCATAAAACCATACTCAACAGTTCAGTTTGATCAAACAAGCATTAACTAGTAGCGCATTATATCCACAGACAAAAGTAGGAAATGTGATTATTCGAAACCGTAAGCGAAATGATGTACCGTACTATTAATCGCTTTATCAGAAAGAAAAAAATAATTATATAGAAATGCATTGTGAAGATAACGTACTGGATTTCCAACGCCTCCAAATTGTCGAACCAGCGCTGACGAATAGGTGGTGAACATATCGTACGGTAAGTCGTATTTGGGGCCTCGTGGCGCCACTAATAAAATACTATCAAGTGCTTCAGCTGCTAGGTCTACTTGGTCATCGTCAATATACCAACCATTTACTGGTGAAATAAACGTTGAAAACACACTTTTAATTTACAAATACGTCTAATTCTTAGAAAAAGTAAATTCAAAGGATACATAATTTGTTTTACATTATCTCTGCATGGTTTCCATGTTTATTCATATTTCTATGTTTATTCCGTTATACTTTTATTTTACCGATTTTTAATATTCTCTTTGTTTACAGTTCCGTACATTTTATACTGTGTTTTATAGTTTACGTCGTCCATTTATAAACAATGCTATAAAAAAAAAAACATGTTCATTCAATAAAATACATAAGTACTATCGAACAAAATTGTATCTCATACACCTGAATCTAATTAATTTTTCAAATCATTATTTGATCTATTTTTCAAATGATTCGTTAAAGAGATCTTGAAATATAGCTAAATGCTTTATTTCATATTGATATAATAGGGCCATACATTTATTACATATTTACGTCTGCCATACCTACGATATAATGATATTCCTGCGTCCTTCTGTCCATGAAATCCATAATCCCTCCAACAATTGCGTATTCACCTTTATCGAATAAGCCATTAAGGAGTGCTTGTATACCAAAACGACGTAGCGTGAGATACTCACCAAGGAAAACATAAACTGTAAAAATATTATCAATTAAGGTATTAATATGTATGCTGGAAATAGTATAGAAAATAATTAGTTAATCGTATGACAATTTAATTAAAGTTTGTCAAACAATTTACAGGACTCCGTAGTGTACACGCATAATAAACTCCTATTAATATCACACACTTCATCGACTTACTGATACTTTTGTTATTCCATTTATTACACATAACTCTACTTAAAGTATACTCACTTCGAGTTGTGTTTCGTGTCGCAGCAATGATATCATCAAACGGATTCTTTTCGTAGCAGAAGTACAGTTCCATTCCATTTCTCTCCCCTAAATAACAATCGTTATCATCAGTTGGTAGGTTCGTCTCGTAGTACATAAAGACTTTCACGTATGGGTCATATCCAGGTTCTATAAATATTTCGTGGTTGGTTTCGATGTTCATATCTTCAAATAACTCTTTCACAAAATTGTAAGTATACATCCATTTCGTGTCGTTGGTAACAATAAAAGACACCTGTGCCAAAATGCATAGTTTAATTTTAATGTAGGCCTAGTGTCAAAACTATCTCCAACTATCCGCATTATCTTTTTAGAATTCCTTAACCGGTTTTATATATTCCGATTTTAACTAAATTAATAAATTAGGTTTATAGAGAAAACAAATATATGCAGTAGGTCTATCGTACATTAAAACGCGATAGTAGTACAGTAACTGTAGTCGAAATCTGAACAGACCATTAGAACAAAACTGACATACCCTTTCCCAATTCCACATTCTTACTGTCTCCAATAGAGTGTACGCAATATCTCTGCTAGACGGCAAAACACGGGCGTAGTACGGATACAATTCCTTGTCAGAAACTTTCTGATCGTCACAACCCTACATGAGAACATCGTCAAAATATATTAAACGGAATCTTTTAAGACAAAATTCTTAATTTGTATAAATAAAATTGTAATACAGTAATATGAAAGGCACTATTTTCAAAAGGCCATTAGTCAAAAACTGAATAAAATAATATACCGTATCATACATCAATGATGAACACATTATTTGATTCGATGGTGACGGAATATACCTAGAAATATTATAATAAGGTCTTACATAACCCAACATTGGAAGTTCCAGAGCAGAAGTGAGCCTAGCTTCGTAGTCACAAGAGCAGCCTGGTCCGACAACTCCAACAGCATTATTTTTCCAAAGGTCTGCAATAGCTTCTAGCCCAATAGATACGTCACACTGTGTATCAATGAATTGCCATTCAACAAAGTCGCCTGTAATTTAAATTCGCATTTGGAAAATATATATACCGTATTTATTTTATTCCGTATAAGGGGGCTTTGAATAAACGCCCCTCGAATAAACTCTCCCTCTAGCGCCTCATTTGGAAAACACCTCCTTTGGAATAAACGCCCCGATGCGTTTTTTTTTTTTCATTGAGTAAACGCTCCCTCCCCCACCTCTTAATGACTAAACAAAACTAATGGACAACATCATTCCCAACACATTCTGTTGATGTTCTACTCCAGTAAAATTTTCCTAACCTGGTTGGGGGATCAAAGAGTATTGATGATCACGCAATAATACATAACCGATTCCACATTTACAGTGACAACATTAAGGGGCATTTATTTTGAGTAAATGAATGTTATCCATCGTTACGGGCGAACACTTTTCCACAACTTTCAATTTTAATTCCCCCAAAAATATTTTGTACTACAATTAGCTGGCTCCTCACAGGCCTATTTGTTTTATATGTGCAAGATTAATAATTAAAATTTCAATTACGGATATTTAATATTAAAATTAGGGATTTTCGTTTTTTTTTTTTTGTTTTTTTTGTTTTTTTTTTTGTAATTTTTGTCATTGTTGCTGTTTTTAGGGACCACAATGGGTATATAAGCAGCTGTCTTTCTGAGCTCTTTTGCGTTATTCTTGTTATTTACATTGTTGTTGCGGACAATCACTTTTTTTGACAATTCTGCTATACTAATGTTAGATTGACCATTGTGGGCCCATGGTGGGTTAATAATTAATCTAACACAGGTCTACATTGCTTATTCAGCATTGATAAAATATTATAACATCTCAATATCTTTTTAAGCTAGTAATTTAATCTAACTTGTGAAAAATGTAAATTTTTAATTATTGAAGTTATTTCGTTGAATAACTTATTTTCTCTAAAAGACTTGCAATTATATACATACAGGCCCTACCTGAAAAAGACAATCCTTTTTAGAGAGGCAACAATCCTTACTTTAAAAAAAAGTCAATTATATCATTTTTTTCATCATTGTTGGGATGTTGGTTGCAAGAAAAGTCCGTCCAACACAAACAAATGCGTTCGTCCGTAACATTTTCTTTTCGTTTATAACTCAAGGACTGTAAATTATTTGGTACGGTAACCTAAGCCTAATTACAGTAATAGATAAGTTAAAAAACTTATTTTAGAAAATGAACAATATTTTGCCAACTCTCACTTTCCTGGATAAAAATTCTCACATTTTTGTTTTTCTAATTTTAGTAAAAATAAAAATCTACATATCTTGTGTAAGTTAGAGGATAATTAGCCTAGCCTCTAGGCCTAAGCTAGACTTTAGCTAGTAGTAGCCGGGCCCTTGGCCTAGGCCTAGGCCTAGCTGTTTAAAATTGTATGTTTGTTAACAATTATTTTCTTTAAAAAAAAAATTAAAACAATAAATGCTCAAGCAAGGCTCAAGCATGAAGAAAAATTACACCTAGGCCTAGGCCTAGGCTATTATATAATTAATAAAATGTGTTACGGGCGGACAACTTCTTAACATTCTTACCCATGCAGTTTGTAACTAAAAAAAAAATAGTAATAATTTATTAATTAATAGTATTTTTATAATTATTTTAATTTAGGCCTAATTTAAGTCATCATTTATTCTCAATCTTGTTTGTGGCTATTCTACAGTCAGTAGCCTAGCCTAGGGCCTACTGGGCGAAAATTTGAATGTTACCTTTCATATACATTATGGTTATTTATTAATATTAGGCTAGGGCCTAGCCTAGGCCTACATTGTATTTTAAACAGATGAATGAACTCACCATTTGGCAAAACTCCCCCTGCATTAATATGCTCGAAAGCAAGCGGCAGCGCTCCTGCAATAGGATCTCCGGGAAGAGTTGCTGAATCAGCTGGATCAGAAAAAGCAATCATGAAGCCGATTGTGTAGTTAGTTGCCTCACATATATTTAAAATATATGCGTTGATAATACACACGACAATAAGTGTACTAGTAGACATGTTAGTGCATTGGTGTAACGTTGACCAAAATTAGGCAAAAACCTGAACTATTTTTTCTTGAAGGAACGTTTTAAGCTAAGTAGGCTAGGCCTACCGTCGGGCGTCTCTGTGTTGTAAAAATATTTGAACGCATAACGCTCATTTTACACGTACGCGCACATTTTAATATGCGTGCTGTGATTGCGCGCACAGCTTAGCGGTACCAAGCAACACCATAAACCCCTCCTTTGTTATAGACACTAAATTTTCCGTGAAACAAGGGGAAATACAATTATCTTTTAACACCACGGCCAAACCCTACTAAGGGGACACCCCTATTAAGGAGGCGGGACACTCTTGAGTGTGCCAAATGGTCAAATGAATACATTTTCATTATTTGACCATTTTTATCACAACTACAATAAATAAAAAAAAAAAAAAAAAAAAAAAACAATATTTCATTAAAATTTTTATTTTGACAACTTCTGAGCGATAAAAAATGAAAATTCTTTTCTTGATCCTTAAAATAGCTTTCGGGTTCACTGTTTGTGTTACTTTCTTTTTTGCGTATTGTGAGTGCATTTCCCGTATGATTAAAAATCGTAACGGTACTGGGTTTGGTCTACAGGAGTTCGTGCTTCGAACAGGTCATTCCATTCATAGAAGAAGTTTTGATGGAGAAAGTCTACCTTTTTAGCAGAGGTTTGCCTAGGTCGAAACTAACTCCGGCTATATAATAATAATAATAATAATAATAATAATAATAATAATAATAATAATAATAATAATAATAATAATAATAATAATAATATGTCGTTCTTATATAGCGCTTCATGCCTTTACAAGGCCTCTAAGCGCTTCACATTACTACCTCGGTCATTGGATCAAACACATATGGAACGCATTGAACACCAAATTAAATTAGTAAATTGATTATAAGATAGTAAAATATTAATCTTGTTATTGTACTACTAGGCCTAGTAGTAGTGATAGATACTATGTACACGTTTAATTATTGTTATTTATTCGTTATGTCATTATACATACATTTAAAATTAATGTATTGTTTAAGTATGAATTATTTGTTCATGTAAAAAATAATCTTATCAATTCAAATTGTATATTTTAAATAATATAATAGGCATACAGCCTGTTCGAAGCACGAACTCCTGTAGACCAAACCCAGCACCGTTACGATTTTTAATCGTACGGGAAATCCACTCCACGATCGATTTCGAATTATGAAAAGTGTAGGCTGTGGCACCGAGACCTCTGACGATTAGTGCCCAAAATTGTTTACCATTGGCGTAGAAAAATATTTTTCATTTGGGGTGGGGGGATGATTGGCGTGTTAGCCATTGTCGTAAGTTTGTGTGGTCATCGTCGTACGTAGTGGTTAGACTAGCCTACATTACATCTGTCTCTTATACACATCTCAATTAGGCCTATCATCTTTTTAAAAGTGAAAAAGAAAAGAAAATACTAGGCCTAGGCTACCTCATTAAAATCAACAATGAATGGATGTAACATCTAGATGTTAGAGAGCGCCCTCATATTTTTAGAGGGAGAGAGATTATCAATCCTGAAATCTGTACTTCCGGTTTCTCTGGGACCTCGCGAGACGCGTTATGGTAGAAATTTAACCCGGAAATTGGTTGATTTTAAAATAATATTTACGATTATTGAATAATTATTTATGCAGTTTTTATTGCATTTTGTTTTTCATCTTGTTTTTGCTCTTATCGTCTGTTGGTTTGTTTCTGCATCCTTTGATAGCTGTCTCTTATACACATCTAGATGTGTATAAGAGACAGACCGTATACAGGGCACAGTCAAAGGTTTTGCAGTGCTCATCCTCTAGCAAATACCAGTATAATTATTTGTTCGAAAAGTTTGTCATTTATTTATTTATTATTACTGTATATTTAAATTATTTCATTGTTACCTAGTTTAATTTATATTTTAACTCCCTCTTAGTCAACAAAATAAAATTATGAAGAATCTATGTCCTTATTGCATGCCACTACGTGCTAACCCCTATTAAGGGGACACTTTCACTTTTTCTGATGTGTCCCGTTAATGGGTACCACTAATTCAGAAGACACCACCCCCTTAAGGGGACTCTTTTTTGCTCCGAATGTGTCTTAAATAGGGGTTGTACTGTATTAATTAAAACCTATGGTCTACCAGCCTCCCCCCACCCCTCTCTTATAGTATGCTAAGATTTCAGACTATTGCAACAAACAGGTAGAGTCACAATTTATTATAATGTAATTAATTTGTATTATGACTCTACCTGTTTGTTGCAATTTGAAATCTTAGTATAACTAGAGGGGGTCCTGTGTAGACCATGGCGGTATTAATTAATAAATACAGTAGATAAGGCACATTCGGAACCAAAAGTGTCCCCTTAGTGGGGTGTCTTCTGAACTTATGCATAATTGTTATGTTATCATCATTGTTATTATGATGATAACAGAGCAATTAATACAAAAATAGTGCTACTGTTATGCGCAGTGTGGTATTTGCGATCCGTTTCAACGGTTAAAATGTTTACACTAAATTTATACTGGGCCTCTTGTATGTCAATGATAACTACTTTATTATATAACCGAGTCCGCAAACATTGATATACATGCATGATATTATAATGCACAACTTCCGGAGTGAATGGACTGGGAAATGTCATTTATAATAAAGATGTTGATGACGATGATGATAGTAATAATAACGATCATAACGATGACAATTATATCAATACTAAATAAAAGTATTTGGGCATTTACATAGCGCCCTTTACTGGAGAGTACTATGAACTATGAAAAAGGTGAGTATTAAGAAGAGAGTATGATAACGATAACAATAATGATGAAAATTAAGATTACTAGGCCCTAAGTGCAGGCCTCTTGCCAGGTTCTTCCAAGGTGGAGAAGGGGGTCTGGGTGTGAGGTTCAGGGTCAAAGATCCGATGGGGTAGGCGAAATCCTGAAGCCATAGTTTTTTTGTGTTCCAGGAGTCAAAAAATGCTATATGTATTTTTGAAAAGGTAGCAAAAACATTCAGTCTGAGTCTGGGTGGGTCTGAAGTGCATTAGTTGGGTTGGAGGACTCGTTCGGAAAATTCGAAGGGGAATTCGTCAGAAAAGAGAGGTTTGCTAGAAAAGGGTTTGACGAACCATACACCACCCACCCCTCCCCCACCCCCGGCTACGGGCCTGTTAAGTGAACACTTAAAACCATTTGAAATGATAAATTGAAAATAGGCCTACACCACAAATAACCATTAACTTTATTTAGCAACAAAAGCAATTAGGCCTATCATCTTTTTAAAAGTGAAAAAGAAAAGAAAATACTAGGCCTAGGCTACCTCATTAAAATCAACAATGAATGGATGTAACATCTAGATGTTAGAGAGCGCCCTCATATTTTTAGAGGGAGAGAGATTATCAATCCTGAAATCTGTACTTCCGGTTTCTCTGGGACCTCGCGAGACGCGTTATGGTAGAAATTTAACCCGGAAATTGGTTGATTTTAAAATAATATTTACGATTATTGAATAATTATTTATGCAGTTTTTATTGCATTTTGTTTTTCATCTTGTTTTTGCTCTTATCGTCTGTTGGTTTGTTTCTGCATCCTTTGATAGAAGAGTAATTTTATTTTGATTTTGTTTACCAACCACCCCGACAGCAGCGACTGGACATTTTTTACATCAATATTAAACAAGTTCAACATTTGTTTGTGTGGTCATCGTCGTACGTAGTGGTTAGACTAGCCTACATTACATCATTCCATCTGAGCCCACGCCTTCGATTTCAGACTTACTTCACATACGGAAGGCCTAGAAAGGAGGCCTGGTATTTGACTAGTAAGATTCAGTATTCCGTATAAAGACTTCCAGTGTTTTTTTTTCCGGTAAGTTGATTTCAAAATAGGTTATGATGACTAGGCTAGAGTAGAGAGGGAGGGCCTAGGCTTAGCCAGCCACAGTGTCACCAGGGGGCACTAGGCCTAGGGGCTAGAACTGGCCTAGGTCTCGGCCTTAAGTACTGGAGTCTGTAAGCTAGGCCTAGTACTAGATCTAGGCCCTATCCTAGGCTAACTACTACTGTAGTACTACTGAATTACCAAACTAAAGTACTAGGTTACCAGACTTTCCAACCCCTGAAAATTCAGAGAATAGACGTGCCCTATGGACCGGTGAAGAAAATACGTCCCCACCCTATAGAATGAAATTTTTGAAAACCTTAATTTATATTCATACATGCGTTCTTTCAAGGTGTCACTCTCGGCAGCACTCGGAAAGTCTTTTGTACGCACAATGGAAAAATTGACAATGCAGAAATACTCAATTATTGGTACCATAAAGCCTCTACATAATGTAGCTATTTTTGATATTTTGGAGTTTTTTTCTGACAAAATTTAGGAGACCGGGAGATTCATGTAAATTCGGGAGACTCTGGATTGAATTGGGAGTGTTGGAACGTGGCTACAGTAATCTAGCCACATCATGCGCCAGTACAGCTTACCATACAACTATTAATTACAGTACAACAAGGCTAGCCGAGCCCTCTGTTTTGGTATTTTTTAATTATGCTAAATAAAAATGCCAAATTTCCACATAAAATTGTGCATAATTAAATGAAATTGATGGATTAATCCTACTATATTAATCTATGTTCTTGATGCCAATGAGGAACACAGTTTATTTTAGTAATACAGTAATCCACTTGTTGTAATCATTGGTTATTTTGTTTTCAGACAGTCATATAATAACTAATAATATAATATATGTTCCTTTTTTTTTTGCATCTGTTGTTTTTAGTGATGAAGTACTGTAAGAGCAGTTTACTGTTTTGGTTCATGCCTGTTCCTTGTTCCTGGCGAAATTGTATTTTATTTTGCTAAAGAAATACTGTATTTATTTGAATAAACATCCTGCTTTGAATAAGCGCCCCCTCGAATAAATGCCCTTCCTAGAGCCTCATTTGGAATAAATGCCTCACTCTCTAATAAGCGCCCCAGCCATTTATATTTTTCTTGAATAAACACCCCAGCCCCTAAATGTAAACAAATGTAATGAAAACAACATTTTATTTTGCTGAATAAATACTGTATTTATTCAAGGGACTTTCATAGGGTCTAGACCACATGAGCTCCACCCAGTGCGGATCCAGGAATTCGAAATAAAGGGGACCCAGTGAAGGTCGACCCACCTCAGCCCCACATGGTTGGAGCTGAGGTAAGAAAATTTATGATTATGGTACTTCTAGATGGTCGGAAATGGCACTCTCAGACTTAGATTTAAATATAATTTTTTTTTTTCTCAAATTTTTTTTATAATTAAAAAATATTTGAATTCGCCACTGCCAACATGGTTGGAGCTGAGGTAAGAAAATTTATGATTGGTACCTCTAGATGGCCGGAAATGGTCCTCTCACACTTAAATTCGAATAATTTTAATTTCTTTCTACCCTATTTTTTCATAATTTTAAAATATTTAGGGGGGGCTACAGGAACAGCTTCCTCCCTCCTTTGAATCTGACACTGATCTGGTTAATGAGTTTTTAACATTAAATTTTATTACTACACATAGTGATACCCATCAGCACTGACTTCTATGAGAAAATTGAAAATAAATCAGTAAAAACATGCAAAATTATGAATTTGCGTAGATGGGTTAATTTCTGGGAAATTCTTGCTTGCTTGCGGGAGTGCATGAGACCGTCCCAATTTCCGGGAGACTTCCGCGAGTTCAGGGATACTTGGGACCCATTGAGTATAATACCCCATTCAGACTAGCATCGCATTGCGATCGGTTGTAGCAATTGCGACACCCAACTTCACCCAATCGCAAAGTAAAATGTAAAGTTTGTTTGTGTTGGTCTGAATGCGTTCGTTGATTGCAATCGGGAGTAATCAGTTTTGGATTACCACCGATTACATCGCAACCGTTCGCAACAGAGTGTAGTCTGAATAGGGTATAAGTCTCATCGTAAGTTTATGAGTAGGACATTGATAATGATTTGCTTTTTTTAATAAAATCAATTGTAAATATAAGTGAAGTTGGAAATAGAAGCCCTGGTAGATTTATCTGGTTCATTTGGCTGTCTGTGCAGGTTAGAAGTATACCTGCTGCAACTTTGTACTGAGTAAGAGTTCTCTCATGCCTGTAGTAAATGCTACTGTACGCCCATGTCTCTAAAGGCTGCGTATTGAAGGCCTGCTGTACAGCGTTCATGCACAAAATGAGCAGACTCTGCTCTTTTCCTTTCTATACTCTTTAAATACAATTTAATTACTATACTCTTTGAGTATTTGCATGTAATGAATCCCAGTAAACATTTTTATTAAACAATTTCTGTTAGAACAAATCTCATAATGTAAGGGTTAAACTAACGAAAGAGTATGATGGCTTGGGCGAGACTTACTTATTTTATACCTTGTTCCGCGAACATACAGTATTTTTTTAAAGATCTTAGGAGGAGGGTGAAAAAAAAAATTTGTTTTTTATAGCAAATAGTTTTGCCAAAACATCCAGACGGAGGAAAAAAATTAAAATTAAATTTTCATGGTGATTGTAAACAGTGTAGTAATGGGATGGTTAAATGCATTAAATTTATATATTTAGGAAGAAATCTTATTTTTTGAGATTTCAAGCCATTTATATATACAGTAATTCGGAAGAAAACATATTTTTTTCTGAAATTTCCATTTTTTGTGGCGGCAGGTCCTCTAATTGGCCAAAGTTTTTATTTAATTTTTATTCGAAATCATCATTAGTGGTGGGTGGCAGGTTCACTAAACAAGGTATAAAACAAGTCAGGCCTTAACTGCATTCAATTTATACTGCAGAATGAATGCAGATAGTTCAGGTTGTTTAATGTTTTGTCATAGAAGGACGATTGATCCCATCAAAATGTGACTCTATCAATGAATCGTACCTTACTGTACTGTACCATAGATTCTCAATCTTATGATTATTCAAATAGAGTTTATAATATTTGATATGATTATTGGTATCTAACTGGGTGTTTCGAAAAATGTTAATACTGTACACGGTACTTCTATGCTGTGAATGGTGATGTACAGGTAGCTTTGAGCTTGAAAAATAAGCATATTTGCACTAAAGTAAACCATCATGTGGACACTTGTCCTTCACATAAACTTATTAATCTGTAGGCCTATAAATATAGTTCAGCATGAAAGGTCATCTGAACATTTCTATAGATTCTTAATGTAAATATTTATTCACAAACAATGAAAATAAGATTTAAGTTAAGTCTTGTTTTTGCATGTTTTTAGAGGAAGTCTTGGAGAAGAATTCTGCAATATAATTGTTTCTGCACATGTACCAGTATCACTTTTATTGTTGATTCTGACTGATTGTAGTAATACAGATATTTTATTTTGCCTTTAGAAAAATAGAGCCAGTTTAGATTTTAGACAAGACTTTTTTTATACCTTGTTTATCGAACCACCACCCGCCAATAATGGTAATTTCGAATAAAAATAAAATTTTAGTTTTGGTTTTGCGCAGCCACCACCACGAAAAAAATGGAAATTTCAGAAAAAAAATTAAAGTTTTCTTTATATTTATTACGCCCGCTGCTGCCTTGAGATTTACAAAAATAAGATATGTTCTGTATATTTCTTCTTAATTATATAAATTTAAGGCATTTAACCATCCCATTAGTACACTGTTTTTTTGGCAAGACTCTTTGGTAAATGAAAAACGAAAATTTTATTTTTATTTTTTTTCCACCCTTCCCTGACGGTCTTTAAAAAAATGAGTGTGCGAAGGTATAAAGAAAAGTCTTGCCGTGTGGTGTGTAACCTGTACCTCAAATTAATCTCAAGGTTTCATTTTTAATCTGAATGTCTTTAAATTTAAATTAGTTTCCGAAATCACACGTAAAATACTGTAGTACAACCGGACTGAAATTGAAAATTGTTGGGAGTGTGGAGTTGGTTGGCCAAAGATTGGAAGGTCGTTTTCACAAAACTACCTGTGTGCTACACTAATTACATCCATACATTTAGGTAGAAAAAAAAATATTCTGAAAAAACGTACAGCTACTGTAAGGGGTTACCAGCCAAAATTTACAGAAATTGTTCTGAATGTGCATGGAATGGCATGTTGTGAAACTAGCTACAGTTACCTACTTTACAGTACATGTAGCAAACCACTAGTTGACGTCATAATGTCAGGGGTGGATCCAGATGTGTCCAAAAGGGGGGGCCAAAAAGGGGACCTAAAGTTGGGCCGATTGAGACAACACTGTCCTAGGGGGTCCGGGGGCATGCCCTCCACAAAATTTTTGAGTTCTAGACGCCCGAAAATAACATTTGAGGCATTCTGGGCTTATATTTTTTTCCTTTTCTTTCTTTTTTTCTTTTTTTTCTCTTTTTCTTACCTCCCAAAAGGGGGGGGGGGGGGGGGGGCTGGGCCGGCCCCTTCCCCCTAAATCCGCCCCTGTAATGTTCCCATGCAGCAACCATGTATATTGACATAAATAATTTTACATATTGTAATGATACTTGCTGTACAGTGATACTCACTGGATCCAGTAATACTGCACAGTACAGTAGGTACTGTGCAGTACTGTTAATATGGTTCTCTTATGATAATCCAAAAATTAAGTATATAAGATGATGAAATAAACTTATGGATGAACTTACTGTATGAAGGCTTAGTCGTGCTGTAAGTGACGATATGACGATTGTGGGCACTGTGATGTTGGTTCTGATGAACCTTTTCTGTAACCTTTGCCAGGTGACCGCTTGTTATCCCAAGCGGGATGTGTGGGCACCGGTCTCCTTCAAAATGCTGTCGTACTGTATGCGGTAGCTCGTATGCACTTTGATCTCGGTTTATGTTATTGCGATGTAATGTTATTGCGACGTAATGTTTA